TATGCAGCCAAAACTGGTTTGGTTCAATGGATAGAGCATTGGCCTGCGGACTCCAGGGTCCCAGATTCGATTCTGGCCAAGGGCATGTACCCGAGTTGTGGGCATGTCCCCAGTAGGGGGTGTGCAAGAGGCAGCTGATCGATGTTACTCTCTCATCGATGTTTCTGGCTCTCTATCTCTCTCCCTTCCTCTCTGTAAAAAATCAATAAAATATATTTTTAAAAAGATTAATATGCAAATTGACCATAACTCTACTATATTCACAAGCCATGCCCACCAGTCAATAAGGAGCAAATATGTAAAGAATCCCAACCAAGATGGCTATGGCCATGGAGAGCAGGAGGGAGGTTTGGGTTTCCCTGGCAATGGAGGAAGCCAAGCTTTCGCCTGCCCTTGCTGGCCTAGGCCTCCACTCAATGCTATAAAGTTTCAGTGATAGAAGATAAATAAATGCCAACAAAAATGGCTGTAGAGAGCAGGAGGCTATGGTTGCCCCTGGCAATGGAGGAAGCCAAGCTTCTGCAGCTCTGGCCAGCCTAGGAATACTCCAGGCTACTAAGTTTCAATTATAGGAGATAAATAAATCCTAACAGAAATGGCTACTGCCACAGATTGAGCAGAAGGCTTGGCTCCACTCCAGGCTACAAAGTTTCAATTATAGAAGGTAAAACCCCGATCACAGGACCTCAGCTTGGGTTGCTGGGGGAACATGGCCAGCCTGCAAACCACCACAGGCCCCTTGCCCCGGCCGCATCACGCCCCAAGGGAACCCGACCCTGATCCAGGACATACTTCAGGACAAACCAGCTGGCCCCCACCCATGCACCAGGCCTCTATCCTATCTAATCCTATCTAATAAAAGAATAATATGCAGATTGAACATCACCCAAACACACAAGATGGCTGCCCCCATGTGGACACAAGATGGCCACCACAATATGGCCAGCAGGGGAGGGCAGTTGGGAGGGACCAGGCCTGCAAGGGAGAGCAGTTGTGGGTGATCAGGCCAGCAGGGGGTTGCAGTTAGAGATGACCAGGCCAGCAGATGAGGACAGTTGGGGGTGATCAAGCCTGCAGGGGAAGGCAGTTAGGGGTGACCAGGTCAGCAGAGGAGGGCAGTTGGGGTGACCAGGCCTGCAGGGAAGGACAGTTGGGGGCAATCAGGCTGGCAGGGAAGCAGTTAGGCATCAATCAGGCTGGCAGGGGAGTGGTTAGGGGGTGATCAGGCTGGCAGCCAGAAGTGGTTAGGGGCAATCAGGAAGGCAGGCAGGCAAGCAGTTGGGAGTCAGCAGTCCTGGATTGGGAGAGGGTATTCCGATCCTGGGACTCTCCAGGGGTCCCATATTGGAAAGGGTTCAGGCTGGACTGAGGGAACCCCCATCCCCATGCATGAATTTTGTGCTCTGGGCCTCTAGTATCTTATAAAAAATTTTTAAAAGTTATACATGTAAATTGAAAAAAAATATTTTATTTCAGCCTAAAACTGTCATCATTACTTATTAATAGAAACTGTGCATCTGTTGGGCATTGCACAACTCTCAAACCTTGGAATAAGATCACCTTCATGTCTTGTTCCACATCCATTTTCACTTGATACATCAAAGCAACTGCTGAAAACCCACTTACAAACACAGGGCATCATCAAAAAATGTTGTGAATTCTAATGTTGAAATTATGAACTGTTTAGAGCTAGTAGTAGTTTGCATGAATCTAGCAGATGTTGCTGTGTTAATCTTGAACATTTAAGATATAAATGGCATTCCTGTGAGTGCATTGCAGCACCCTGGGGTGCCTCAGGGACCAGGCAATTCTTTAGAATATATTTTTCTTTTCCTTTTTCTTCTTTCCTTCCCTTCTCTTCCTTTCTCCCTTCATTTTGTTTTTCTAATTTAATAATTATAAAACCACTTGAAGCTTCATTTATAACTCAAATTCTCTCTCCATGACATAATATATACTGGAATTTCAACCAGAAATGAAGTCAGTAGAAAAGCATATGTTTTAACTGAACAACATATGGAAATCTGATGTTTGTAGACATGTTTTTCCAGCAATAAAGTTTTTAGAAAAGAATTCTTTACATTCTATAGACTATCTTCTTTTTCTTGATAAAGAAGATAGATAGAAAAAGTGAGGGAGAGGGGAAGAGAGGGAGGGAGGAGAGAAGGCAAAACATGATTAATAAATCTTCTTTATTAAGTGCATCCTGTACACTCACATTCTTGGAGCAGGACAACACTGAGAGGACAGAGCTGCCGAGAGTCCAGGCATCCACACAGTCCTTCCCAGATACAGATCTGTTGGCACAGTCAAGTTCAAGTGGAAAACAGAGTACAAGGGAGCAGGAAGAGTGGAACAGTGTAGACACGTGGGCTTTAGAGTCAGGCTGTGTTCAAGTCCTGCTTCTATAACTTAGTAGCTCTGAGTACCTTGGAAGTTACTTAATCTTGTGAATTTTTTATTTATTTTCATTAAAATGGAAATAATACTTATCCAAAAATTGTTTTCTGAGACTGATTAACACTTGCAAAGTGCACTTCATAACATTTGGCACATTTAACGGCTAGACAGTTATCAATATTATTACAACAAGAGGCCTGGTGCATGAAATTCATGCATGGGGTGGGAGTTTGTGTCTCAGCCCAGCTTGTACCCTCTCCAATCCAGGACCCCTTGGGGGATGTCCAACTGCTGCAGGAATTGGGCTTAAACTGGTGGTCAGACATCCTTTTTGCAATCCAGGACTACTGGCTCCTAACCTCTTGTCTGCCTGCTTGATTGCCCCTAACCACCTCTGCCTGCCACCCTGATGCCCTAACTGCACTCCCTTGCCAGCCTGATCACCCCCTAACTGCTCTCTCCAGCTGGCCTGATTGCCCCCTGCTATCCACTGATGGCCTGATCACCCCTAACCTCCTCTGCCTTGGCCCCTGCCACTGTGGCTTTGTCCAGAAGTATGTTCGGAAGGCGTCCGTCCAGTCTAATTAGCATATTGCCCTTTTATTAAGTATAGATAGGGCCAATTCACAGGTAGGAGAAGGCAGAGGTAAGGTCTGCCAAAGAATGGCAAGGGTAGAGAGAGAAGAAATGGTGGGGAGAATGGTGGAGTTCATGTCAATAAATGAATTGCATCTAGAACTCTGATGGTGGGAATGTAAATTGGTTCAACCAATTAAGAAAACCACTTGATAGTATTTACTAAAGCTGTGCATATGAATATGACCAACTAAGCAATTTGACTTCTAGATTTATGCTCAACACACAAATGCTTACATATGCACACCAAAACACAAGTTTAGAGCAGCACTATTCACGATAGCTGGAAAATTAGAAACAACCCACCTTAGGATGGCTAAGTACAATGTGGTAGTTCATACAGAATTCTATTCAGCAACACAAGTGAATGCACTACTGCTACATACAACAACCTGGATGTAATTCACAAGTAATGTTGGGTAAAGGCAGACAGGGAATATAGTACATGCTTATGTAGTATAATGATGCCATTTTTATAAAGTTCATGATCAGGCAAACCAATCTACGGTATTAGAAATATGGGTAGTAATTACCTTTTGGGGGGCAGAATTAGTGTCTGGGAAGGTGCATGGGGGCCTACTAGGGCTCGTTATGTGTATTCATTTTTTGAAGATCCATCAAGCTGTCTTATGTACATTTTTACCTGGATGTTTTTTCTCTAAGAGTTTACTTTTCAAAACAAAATGGGCCAAAGTATTGAAAAAAAAAATCTTGCTGTAAATTGAATGTTTGTATCCCTCCTACCTCCAATTCATATATTGAAACTCAAGTTCCAATATGACGGTGAGAGGAGGGGCCTTCAGGTGGTGATGGGGTGTTGAGGGTGGATCCCTCCTGAATAGAATTTGTCCCTTTGTAAGAAGAGACCCAGAGAGCTGCCCTGTCCATTCCACCACGAAAGGACGCAGCCAGAAAACAGCACCCATGAATCACAATGCACCACATCTGCTGGCACCTTGATCTTGGACTTCCCAGCCTCCAGAATTGTGGGAAAAATTTACTGTTTATAAGTCACTCAGTCTATGGTATTATTACAGCAGCCTAAGACAGACCTCTTTATAACTTTCCTTTTAGGCAGAGAGGGTCACATTAAAAAAAAAAGAAATAAAAAAAAAAAAAAAAGAAAAAGAAAAATTACAAAAAGATTTTGGCCCTAAGAGAAAACATGAAAAGACAATATGAGGCCCAATAGCAGCTATATTTACAAAGTGCAGGTCAACAGTCCTATGGTGACTGACTCTGTATGAATCAGGATACGTTAGGTTATAACTCCCTAATCTCCGTGGCTTAACACAACAGAGCTCCTTCTTGTTCTACACATGCTAGCAGGGGCTCTGCTCCCCATGTTCACTTGGGGACCCCACCTGAGGGGGATTCATCCAGGCACACGTATTAAATTTATTGGGGTGACATTGGTCAATAGGATCATATAGGTTTCAGATATGGATCTCTATGTTACAAAATCTTTATGTCACACCATGTACCTACCACCCAAAGTGAAATCATCTTCCTTCATTTGTCAACATATATTGGCCCCCGTCACTCCCCACCCCGCTGACTGTTTTTAAATGTGATTTCCTCTTAGACTCACACACCAGTTTCGGGAGAAATGTTCTAATTCATTAACTGATGACATAATTAAATTTTAATTTGGATTCCTTACAAGACACATAAAAGGCTGAAACATTTTGTGATAAAAGGAAGAGCTGAACAAGGGTGTGGGCTTAAAGATGAAAAATGTCTTATGGTAACCACAGGGCACCTGATTTCCCTGTGCTGATACAATCCAAATAAGTTCTTTAAATTCTGATGATTTCTTATTACACCAATTCCTTTCATTATGAAAGAAGCCACTTCCTTTAGTAAAGGCCAGCGATGGCAGGTAGAAATAAACCTTTGATGCAATCAATTAAAAATGTCCAAAAGGGCACAGTGTGTTTCTGACTGATCCCGTTTTTGAAAATTCATGGCGCTAAGGAATTGGGTACTTCCTCACTTCTCCACCTGCGGCCGAGAGTCCTTTCAGTGGCAGAGCTGTCCATCCACGCCCCCCTCCCCACCGCCCACACACATTCTGAAAGGACTGAAGGTCCAAAAATAGGTTTTGCTATAAACTTTTCAAGAACACATCTGCTGTGAGAAATAAGATGTTTGTAGCCTTGGGACTCTGCACAAAGCATAAAGGAGATGCATTTAAAAATGTTTATTAAAGGTTGAAAAGTCTTCCCACATAAGGAAGAGGTGACCAGACCCACTCCGCTGCATGTCAGGTTCTGACCTGAAGATTGACGGTTTAAAGAGGATGCAGCCACTTGCATTTCTTGCTAAAAATAAACCAAGAGGAGCTTAATGTAAAAGATAGGCTACGGCAGCTGTTAGGAAGTTTGAGCTCAAATAACCAGTGGGCCCCACTCCATGTGAGACAGGGTGAGCCTCGCCAGAAAGTGTGGCTAAAAGGCGGCAAGGAGGCCAGTATAAAGACTGCCCTTTGAGAACTGATGTGGTTGCTTCCTGTTCACTGAAGACTTTAATTAGGAATTTATTCTTCTTCGCAGATGCTTCATTTAGCTGTGTTTTAATTATAGAGCTTGACAAAAAAAGCCAAAAGAAGAGCAAGGAGGGTGAGGCCCACAGACACCGTCAGTGCTCCGTCTTGATGGAGCCTTTGCAGCCACAGCCCCACTCTGGAACCAGCCAAGACGCCCTGGGACATGGAGCTCAGGGGACTCCCATGCCTGCTTCTGAATTCCTAGGAAGAGAGAGACACAGAAGAAAATAATTTTAAAATACAAAGAAAGCCCCATTATGATATCCATCAAGTAATGGGTCCCAAGAAGAAACTTTTTTTTTTAATTGAGATATAACTGACATATATATATATATATATATATAGATTGAGGCCACAGAACCATAGGATCCAGTAAGAAAAAGTGCAGGACAGGCTCTATGCAAACATTCTAAGAAGCATATTTATGGACACACCACATGCCCAGCAGTGCTCTAAGTACTCTCCATCCCTCTCTCCTTTATTACACCCAACCTCCTAGGGAAGTAGTTCACATGAATAAATCCCAATTTTAAGTACTCACCCTCTTTACAGATGGTAGGGATAAATGGTGAAGTGGATGAGAGGCTGGGCTTTAATGAAGCTAAGGTCAGCCTTGGCAGTAACCTATCATTGATAATGCAATATCTACACTAATAAAAGAGAAAGATGCAAGTTGGACATCACTTCATGACGCCTGCTTGCCAATCAGGAGTGAGTATGTAAATTAACCCAACAAAGATGACAGGTTAATTTGCATATGCAGGCACTGAGCGGCTTGGAAGTGGCGGGGGGTGGGGGGGGCAGCTGCTTGCACACGTGTCAATGCCGAACAGCCTGGGTCCTAAGGATGGGCGTTCTTGGGACCCAGGCCTCTCTGAGCCTATAGGCCCATGTGTAGGCCTGGAGTGGTCAGGGTCCCGGAACGACCCCTGGCCACTCTGGGCCTATGTGCACAGGGCAGAGCAGCTGGGGAAGGGGTGGGAACATCCCCAGGACCCAGGTGCTCCGAGCCGTTGCACGTGCAAGTGGCTGGGGCAGGGTGGGAATGTCTCCTGCAGCGCGAGGGCAGACAGCAGACTGTGGGGGACTGCTTACCCCTCGCCAGGTGGCAAGGAGCTAGCAGTCCTCCGTAGCAAGTGAGCAGACAGCAGGGCCCTGCTTGCCCCTGGCATTGGTGGTGAAGGGCAAGCAGTTCCCCAGAGGGCCCCCACAGAGAGAAGACAGCAGGGCCCTGCTGTCCCCTGCAGCAGTGAGCCAGAGAGCAGACAGCAGGGCCCTGCTTGCCCCTGGCATTGGTGGTGAAGGGCAAGCAGGCCCCCACAGAGAACATACACTAGGCCCTGTGGTGGTGTCAAGCAGGCAGGTCTGCAGAGAGCAGAGAACCACGGGGAGAAGGCCTAAACCATCAGTAGGACATCCCCTGAGGGCTCCCAGATTGGAGAGGGTGCAGGTCTGGCTGAGGAGATCTCCCCCCTCCTCCACCCCCCGCAAAAATTTTGTGCACTGGGCCCCTAGTAAAGAAATTTTAAAAAAATCATGGCAGTACCTAATTATTAAAATGACTATCAAGATCAAGACCACACAGACTTTTCCCCTCTTCTGCTACACAACCTCAGGAAGGCAATGGTGTTATTTTAGGTTAGTCTATGGAAGGACTGTTCAGGAGAGCCAGCCTCAGGTCGGGCGCACTCTGCACACCCGCCTTGCTGTTCTGAGCCTTGTTGAGTTTGCAAATGTGACCTGTAGATGGCACATTCCGGGTATTCTCTGAACATACGCAGACATACGTGATCTGCTCGCATTAGAACATGTTGCAAAATGTGTTTTAATGAGGAACAGTTGGTCTGGTTCTGCTCAAATAAAAGACATCTCTGTAAGAGAGTTGCCACCTGTCTTCCCATCTTGCAGTGCAGCTTCTAAATGAGCTCTTCTGTCCCTGACACCTGCAGGTGTCACAGGGCCCTGAAATCATAGGCCACGTGCCAGCTCCCTTCCTGAAGTTGACAGGCAGCCTCGGTCCTGTGCTCGATGTCATTCCAGATAGCAGGGCACTCAGTGGCGTGAGGGTGACACGCTACCTTTCCCCACTATTCTTATAAACATTCCTCAAATTGGGACCATCTTAATATCCTATAACCACGTCTGCCTAATTATCTCCATACCAAAGATGTAAGTATTTTCTAGTTTTTATAGTCTATGTAAATAATGCCCTATGCATTGTCCATGAGCATTAATGGTACGCTGGCTTTAATGGCCTCAGCAATTAAATGTGGAATCAATTACATGTTTTCATTTGTTTTGAGAGGACATTTACATTTTAAAACCTCTGTCTCAGAGTTACATGATGACAGCACAGTATTGTCAAGCCCTTCTGTATCACTTTTGGGCATGAACAATTCTGAATCAGACATTATCCTTATGTCATTTTTCCTCCCCCCTCACTTCAAATGCATAATTGCTGTCATTAGAAAGGCAAAAAAATTAAAAAAAAAAAAAAAAAAAAAACTAGAACACACACATACACATCACTATAACCTTGATTTTTTAATCTTATTTTGGTGATAGCATAGTAAACACCAGGCTTTGCTAATAAGGCCAGACATGAATTATTAAACTATCTCCCATATGATCAAATGCATTTCAGATTATATTCTGAATAATTCTGCCTTGACGTTCACCAAAGGGGAAGATCTGACATGCCCTGCAGGGTCTCCGTGAGCCTCCCTTTCAGAGTGCCCAACCCTCTGACTCGAACTGCACCAAATGGAAAAAGGAAATAATCCAAAGCTTGCATCTGCCCATCACTTAATTATTGCTTTATGTAAGACCTCGCTTCATCCGACTTAGATATGAAAACAACACAGCTCCCAATGTTTTTTAATGGATTCAAAATATTTCTCATGTGTAAAATCTTCTCATGGCTCAAAGGCACTGTGAGAGCTCCAAGTGGACGCTAACAGTGATAAAGAGAAATAATTAGATAGCTCATAACTCATTAGAGTCTAGGATCTTTATTTTTAACAAAGCTCAGACATATAGCGTATGCAAGAAATCTATCAAAACCAAATAAGTGATCAAGGAAAGGACGTTTTCTTAAAACATACATTATGCAGTATAGCATACTATCAGAAAAGAACCTCAAAATCTCCTGATTTTGAAAGACTTTAAATACAAAATTACCTTCATATCCAAAAGCTATCTTGATCATAATTGCATTTTACGCTGCAAAATATAAATTGAAGGAAGCCCCTCCTATGGTAAGCATCCCTAATGCAAACGGCTGCGTGGGTTCCATATAACAAGGAGTGGACACAGGTGGCCGCTCAGCGTTTGCAATGCCTTCTCAACCCTCTAGTGGTGGGATTCTATCTGAATACCCTCATCTTCTTTGAAGTCCTTAATCTTTAACTTAGCACCAATGTGCATTCAAATGAGTTTACATATTTCTAATTTTTGACTTGTTACATTAATGAAAATAAGGGGGATGTTGCAGGACAACAGAATCAGATCTAGAAGTAATAACACAGTGTAGAAATCTTTGCCAATAGTACTTCATTGTCATGTGTTTATACATAATTTCTCTAGTTCTACAAAAAATGAGAGGTTGCAAGCTTTGCCAAAGGTATGCTATCAGAGGTCTGGCATCTTAGCTGGAGATACATTTATTTTTATTTCTTTACTAGAGGCTGGGTGCATGAAAATTTGTGACTCTGGGGGTCTCTCAGGCCAGCCTGTGCCCTCTCGCAGTCCGTGACCCCTCAGGGGATGTCCACCTGCAGGCTTAAGCTGGCAGTCAGACATCCCTCTGGAGCTCAGAAGCCCTCGGGGGATGTCTGACTACAGCTTAGGCTGTGGAGGAGGTGGGAGAGGTTCCCGCCATCGCCACTGCACTTGCAGCCATCAGGCCGGCTTGTGGCTGAGTGGAGTGCACTGACCACCAGGAGGCAGGTCCAGCATTGAGAGTCTGCTCCCTGGTGGTCAGTGCACATCATAGCAACTGGTCGTTCTGCCCTTAGGATCAATTTGCATATTGCCATTTTGTTATATAGGATTGTTACTAAATTTTTTCTTCTCTACAGAGGAGTTTTTCTTATTAGCCATACTTAATAAAATTATACTAGAACTTATGTATTATAGGTCTCTCTTTTGCTAACTAAGTATCAGCCATAGATGTAAGACAAGTTTAGACACACACACACACACACACACACACACACACACACACAACCTTGAAATAAAGAAAGAACTAGAAGGCTCACATAGAACTATGCAGTTTCTAATCGCAATGTTCATACAGTGCCAGAAATCTGAACTCATCTATTCCAAATTATTGGCTGGAGCTAAGCACTAGTACAAACTAAAGCTGCTCCGCAGGTGTGACAAAGCTGAAGGAAGAAAGAAAAAGTTAACTGGGTCAAGATGCTTCACTGATGATGAAGTCCTTTAAATAATCTCTTCAACCACAACTGAAACCATCCTCCTTCCATGGAGTATACACAGGAAGCTGTGAAGTAGGATGTTGAGGAACATTACAATTGCGTGTATTAAAGTTAATCTTTAAGTAATCAATTCAACTCAAAATAATTACTCCTAAGAATTTCTTTCAACTAGGTAACCATGAAAGTGTGTTCGCAGATGTTTGTGCTTTAAATGAAAAAGAAGCCATGATGTTAACAGCTATTACAATGCAACCCTCTCATCCTGTTCCAAGTACCATTTTCAATGACACCGGAGATATGGTTTTAGCATCAGTGAGCTCCATGAACTGCATAAAATGAATAAAGGAGATGGCAGGTACTTTGTTTTGTCTCAAAGAGTCTCATAAAATGATGAGCTAACATGTAAAATGTTTCCTATAATACGCCATGATATTCAGTTTGGAGAACTAGTTAAGAACATGGTACATACTAACTATAATTACACTAAACCCAGTCATCTAGAGAAAGTTCACATCTCTAGACCTTTTTTCCTATCACATCCAAAGTTCCATTATGTGTACTTCCAAAATTCCATTCCAATGAATGCCTATTTTCTCTTTAAATTTTTATTTTGAATATAGACAGTTTATATAAAGAAAGAACAACAATCCTATCAAAGTAACTTAAAACAACTGAAAGATTAACACTAAGAAACTTAATAATTCTATGACTATAAAAGTGTAGTGGGCAGCCTCTAAAACAGCCCCAACAACCCCTACCTCC